GAATTTGACAAAACTTCCTTCATGAAAGTTGTAGATAATGAAGTCCTCTATCCACAACAACTTGCCGAATGTGATTGGAATAATCCAATCAAGAGATATGATCAAAACGGTGGAAGGTGTCTTTCTGAAATTGCAGCAGAGATCATCTGACTTCATCATCTGTTTTCACCTTCGCCCTCTCAGATTCCCGTAAAGGTGTCTTCATATAATTTGTAGCTCTTGAAGTTAGCTTTTATATGGAACTTCAATCGTGTTCATTGGTTGTTCCTACAAAGAGATATGCTTGAACGATTAACAGAAGGTCATCCTGATCGTCGTTTTCAAGCTTCATTCATCTTCTTTTGATCCCGAAACCAATCCTAGAGCTCTTTTGTCATCAAATCTTCATCGTAAACCTCCCGGTGACCTCCATAGCTCTCAAATCAATCTCAAATGCTTCTCAACTCATCTCAATTTCTCCTCAAGCGCCAGTGCCGAACTCTAAAATCCTTATTTTGACTCCAAATGACACAAAACTCGAACCAACGCCTGGTAAACATAACTTGAGCTAAAATTGAGACTTGTAACACCTTAAAGCTAGGGAAAACCATCAAAATCCAATCCCAACACGCATCAAATGCGTGTCTAAATACGGACTTATCAAGTATTAATTTCCAAGAGGCATAGTTAAAAGAGGTGACATGTTTTTTTTAGGATGAACAACGCAGGTTGTACTACACTAAACTAATGAGAACTAGGGCTTCTATAATTTTTTTAATCTTAGGTCATATATATACACTAGACTAAAAATGCCCTACCCTTCAACTTTCCAGGAAGTGATAATGTCTGTTTTACAACTTTTAAATAATGAAAATAAGACTTTTATGGTGTGCTACAATCAATACGTTTTGAGAGATTTAGATTTAAAAGTTTATAGTTTTAGAGGTATTTTATTACTTTGAGACCATCAATGTAATTGGTGAGATCTAACTCTTATGGGAGTCATAAGCAAGCAAAAGGTTATACGATTTAAGTATTAAAAGAGGTGACACGTTTTTTTTTAGGATAAACGCAGGTTGTACTACACTGAACTACAATTAGCTAGGGAATATGCAAAAGAAAAAACATAACATATGCTATGGTTTTCTTAGGATTTCCATGTGATTATACTAAACTACAATCACAACAATTAGTATAAATGCAATGGCATTATAAATACAAAATTGTCCAGGTTTTCCATGCCATCTTATATATGCTTAATTTTTTCATAGGCAGCCTCTTTTCCTTTTGTTCTGTCATTTTCTTTTTCGTTCATCCATGACAATTTTCTGTAAAAAGAACAAGGAATATATAGATTGATGCTGCTCAGAAGAACTTCAGTCCAGGTTTTCCATGTCATTCTTTATATGCTTCATTTTTTTTCCTGAAGCCACTCACAATGAAAGTTAAAATGTGAAATCTTTATTAATTACTTCTACTCTAGAGCTATAAGATGCTTTTTTTTCTTTAATCCTTCGTTGGTTATAGAGCAGAATCGTTCGTTACTTTGGTAAATAGCTTTGTCTCATAGTTCTATGGACTTTTAGTAGAGCAGATCATTAAGAAAGATTAATGATAAAAACACTTTTGCGTTTGTCTTCTTAAACCATGATTTAAAGTGTTGTCTCAAGAAGAGAAGTTTCTATGTAAAAAATGCAATGTTTCTTTTCTTGCAATTACTTTGTTCTAACATTTAAACCAGTTTCTAGAGCAGAATGATGTGTTATTTTGGTAATTAGCTTTGGCTCATGGTCTCTCTTGAGTGTTAGTAGAGCAGATTATTAAAAAGGAAAGATTAATGACAAAACACTTTTGCATTTTTCTTCTTAAACCATGGTTTAAAGTGTTATCTTAAAAAGAGAAGTTTCCATGCAAAAATATGCAAATTTTCTTTTCTTGCAAATTAGTTTGTTCTAAAATCTAAACCAGCTTCTAGAGCAGAATGATATGTCACTTTGGTAATTAGCTTTGCCTCTTGGTTTTTTGAGTTTTAGTAGAGTAGATTATTAAGCAAATATTAATGAGAAAATCACTTCTGCATTTTTCTTCTTAAACCATTGTTATGCATTGGTTTAAAGTCATATTTCGAGAAGATAAGATTCCAAGTAAAAATATGCAGTTATGCTTTCTTGCAATTTTTTCTTTTCTTGCAGATACTCTCTGAAATCTAAACCGGGTTCTATAAGGTGTTAAGGACATGCATACCTATTCTTTTCATTACGCTATGCGACAATTACTGCTGATGAGTAAAAGAGGTATATATAGGTATATATATTGTGTGTATTTGCAACGTCTTTATTCCAACAAGTAAACATTCATAGCTATCTTATTTGGATCATTGTCATTATGTCAATATGTCATATCCTTGGGCAATGTTTTTGGAATACAGGGATGGTTTAAATCTTTTTTCATTTACTTTACAGAATCCATTTACATTATTTTTCTTTGCAAAATGTAGCTTTTCTCTTTAGATCTTTTTCAACATATTTCAGCTAAAGATTATAGAAGAAAGTGAATCCTAGAATATGATAAAATGCTAGAATATGAGAAAATACAGTTTGTTGCTATGATTCTTCTTCTCTTTTCTTCTGTTATCTTTTCAGCCATACTTTTCCAAAACAGTAAATCTCAAGTATCAGTATGGCAGTTTAACTTTTAGGCATTTAATTTAGTTAAATATTTTAGTGCACTCAATCACTTGCTATAAAATGCACACCCATGGCCAAATAGATTTTCACCACTCCAATACTTAGCCAGTGATTCTCTCTAAATCGTTTTTCATCTTAGTTTAATTTGAATTGATAATGGGTTGTGAAGGAATTGTTGGGAATTAATTCATGTTTTCATTTTATTTGTTTCATGCTCGGTTGCACAACTGTTGTGGAGGCAGTTGGGTTGGGTGGAGGCTTTTTTACAGCAAATAATAGAGAGGATTGCAGCCTCATGGTTATGGTTTGTTGGGGTTTGTGGCTGACCAGAAATGAAAAGGTGTGCCAGAATATTACTCCAAATCCAAAAGCCATTTTAGCTCGGGTGAAAGGCTTTTGGTCAGCCTGGCAGCAGGCCTAGAAGCATGGGGCTAACAGAAGGAATTCGCAGCAAGTCCGGTCTATCTGGAAGGCTCCTATAGCAGGTAGGATAAAAATGAACATTGATGTTGGTGAGGTGGGAGATGGATGGGGACTCGGCTGGGTTATTCAAGATTAAGTGGGTAGCTTCATAGCGGGAGGGTCAGCTAAGGTGCTCGAGAAGTGCTCTGTCCGTGAAGCTGAAATCTCGATCATGATTTAATTAATTATAATTAATTATTTTCCCTTAAATACACTATTACTATTAAAAGGGTGCCTGACTTTTTTTTTGTATGTGAAGTATTGTATGAACATTTGAATTGGAATGATGAAACATTCTCATAGCTGTAAAACTCGCTACTATAATATACTACTCCGTACTATTAATTTTAGCCATATTTAATCGTTATGTTTATGTTATATGGAAGTATGGGTATTAATTTCCTTCTTTATATGTATGGAATTAATCAACTTTCATACACTGAGTAGGACCTTAAATGCTTGCTTTATTATCAAAGTCTTTTTTAATATGGAAAAGCTACATTAATTGTTTGGAAACAAGTTGTAATTAAATTGGGTAAATTTTTTACTGATCATTTCTTGATAGGAGAATGCAGGGCTCACACTCATTCTTTACAACAATGAGAGTATGGATTCTTGAGATATAATGTGGACATGAAGGGATCTTTGGAATGTTAGAAAGACTAATGGTTGCTCAAGCTAAAAGAATATGTATTTGAGAGTACAATTATCAAACGAAATTAACTGTGTACATATGAAGACCTTTGAATAATTACGTGGCTTCGTAAGCAACCTGTTTGTTAGTTATCCCGTGCAACGCATGGGTAAAAAACTAGTAAAATACCTAAACAACTAAGCAACGGAGTAGTCAGTAGTTTGGGGAAGTGGAAACGTATTACGACGTTGTCGTTTAGTTTTAGTTTTACGTATTTTCATTAATCTTTTAGTCCAATAAAATGTAGTAGTTTAGTGAGGAGAGAAATTAGGCCGTCAACAACACCAGCTCCATAAAGGAAAGTATATCACGGAATATTTGTAAATCTGCAAGAGTATTTTTATTTATGTAAATCTTGCTCTTTACCTGTATAGGTGATTTCGTTTCCTTCATTACTTTAGCATAACTATTGTATAAATATTGAGATATTACGTAGATGAATCATAGAGAAGACCATGACCAGTACAGGGGGAGGCTCCCCTGTAGATCCAAACTCCATCTATTATCTTCACCCATCAGATTATCCCCGCAAGATGCATGTGAATGATGCGTTAAATGACAACAATTACGCAGACTGGTCATAGGAGATGAAGAATTTCCTATTCGCTAAAAACAAATTCAGTTTCGTTGATGGTTCTACGGCCATGCCAGACGAAAAATTGGAAAATTGGATGCTCTGGAAACGGTGCGACGCCATGATAAAGGGATGTCTGACCACAGCGATGGAGAAGGAAATCAGGAATAGCGTCAAATACGCAGACACATCAGAACAAATATGGAAGGATCTGGAGGAGAGGTTTGGCCAGGGAAGTGCATCACGAGCATATGACCTAAAGCGAGCCATCACCCAAACAATACAAGAGGGAGATTCAATTTCGGCCTATTTTACTAAGCTTCGGGCTCTGTGGGATGAAGTTCAGTCCATCTCACCCATTCCGAAGTGCAATTGTGGCAAGTGTACGTGTGAAGTTGGGAAGAAGATGACCGAGGCAAAGGAAAAGGAGCAATTATACGAATTTTTAATGGGCCTTGAAGAAAACTTTGGGACCATAAGATCCCAGATTTTGGGTACAAGACCAACACCGAGTTTAGGATTGGCGTATCGTATGGTGTCTGAAGATGAACAACAAAGAACCGTATCAGCAGGGCGAAGAACCACTATAGAAGCTGCGGCATTTCAAACCTATTCTCAAAGGCGAAATGCGAATAAGGATCCATTATCTATCTCAAAGGGCTATAAGCATGGAGGACTAGAAGGAGGAGAGCATTGCACTCACTGTGGAAAGTCAGGACACTCTTATGATGGTTGTTTCAAACGAATTGGTTACCCGGAATGGTGGCCAACGAAAGGAGGAAATAAAGGAGATCGGGCCGAGACCAGACGCAATCCAAAGGCTGCTCAAATCAATCTAGAGACGAGCCCCATTCCTGGATTAACACCAGAACAATATGGAAGACTTGTTGAGCAGTACTCCAAGATAGATGACTCAACCATTGAGGTTGCCCCTCCCTCTATGAACATGGCTGGTAAGATCAATTTAAACAAAACCTGGATTATTGATACAGGGGCTACAGAGCACATAATTTGTGACAAATCTATGTTGAATGATGAAAGGAGGTATGACAGGGGAGCCCCAGTGGCTATTCCAAATGGCGATCTCATTCCTGTAAAAGGGACCGGTAGTTCCACTCTACCTAATGGTCTAAAAATTCATAATGTGCTGTACATTCCAGAATTTAAGTGTAATCTGCTATCCATTAGTCGATTGACTGAAGAATTAAATTGTATGATGACGTTCTTCCCAAACTATTGCCTAATGCAGGACTTACGCTCGAGGACCTTGATTGGTGTGGGTAGATGCAGAGATGGTCTATACTACATGGAACCGGCAGAAAAGATGGCAACTTTGGCTGCTTCAGTGAGTTCCGAAGTTTGGCACAAAAGACTAGGCCATGCCTCAGGTTCCAAGCTACGAGAGATTGATTTTTTACATTATGCAGTTAGAAAGTTCGGTGTAGAACCCTGTGACTCTTGTATCAGGGCTAAACAAACCCGATTACTGTTTACTACTAGTTCCATTAAATCCAGTGCATGTTTCGACTTAATTCATTGTGACATATGGGGTGCTTATCGTGTACCTTCCTCTTCCGGAGCTCGTTATTACTTATCTGTTGTGGATGATTTTAGTCGAGCAGTATGGGTTTACTTAATCAAACATAAATCTGATGCAAGTGCTTGTCTAACAAACTTTTACAATATGATATACACTCAGTTTGAAAAGAAGATTAAAAGAGTTCGAAGTGATAATGGGGGGAATTTACTTCAAATCACATGATGAGTTTTTATAATGAAAAGGGGATCATTTTAGAAACATCTATGGCCTATACCCCACAGCAAAACGGCGTTGTTCAAAGAAAACATAGACATGTTATGGAAATGGCAAGAGCATTAAGGCTTCAGGCAGGTTTACCCCTCAAATTTTGGGGAGAATGCGTTCTAAACGCAGCCTACATCGTAAACAGGTTGCCTTCAAGGGTTCTGGGAAACCAGACACCATATGAAATCTTATTCAAGAGGAAACCGACTTATAATCACATGCGTGTTTTCGGTTGTCTTGTGTACATACGAAATACTAAGACAGGGGGAGATAAATTTGAAGAAAGAGGAAAGCCGTGTGTATTCCTTGGTTATCCACACGGACAGAAAGGTTATCGAGTTTATGATTTGGTAGAAGAGAAAATTTTCACCGCTCGAGATGTCACATTTGTGGAGAGCATATTTCCTTTCAAGACGGCAGGCTTGGCTAAACCCGTCAACACCTGGGAAGATGAAAGGATAGTTGATGTTCATCTGCCAGAACAAAGGCAAGACACGAGAGATCCTGGCCATGATAACCCAGAGACATTCAACAATGAACACAACTCACTTGAAGTGGTTCCAAATTCTCAAGAAGAGGGAACTGATTCTGGCCAGCAACCGCGTGAAAGGAGGGCTGAAAGAACCAAGACCATGCCAAAGCGATACAGTGACTATGTAACTGATCTGCCACCTTCCATAGACCACTCGCGACCCATGACCAGTCAAGGATCCTCCACGATACACTCTCTAGCTCACTTTGTCTCTTATAAACATTTTTCCTCATCACATAAGGCTTTCTTATCGGCCATCGCATCGCACGATGAGCCAAAATATTTTCATCAGGCTGTAAAGGATCCCCGATGGCGCGATGCCATGGAAAACGAAGTCAAAGCCCTTGAGCAGAATGGGACTTGGACACTTGAAGATCTGCCACCTGGAAAACAAGCCGTGGACTCAAAGTGGGTGTATAAAATCAAATACAAGCCTACCAGAGAGGTTGAACGATACAAGGCGCGCTTGGTTGCAAAGGGGTACACTCAAGTTGAAGGGATCGATTTCCATGAGACGTTTGCTCCTGTTGCAAAGTTAGTCACAGTTCGGACCTTGCTTGCCGTTGCGGCTAAGAAGGGTTGGACAATTCAGCAGTTGGACGTGAATAACGCATTCTTGCATGGAGACCTAACAGAGGAAATATACATGAAGATACCACAGGGATTTTCGAAGGCAGGTGACACTAGAGTTTGTCGACTCCGGAAATCACTCTATGGACTCAGGCAAGCATCGCGCAACTGGTATCACAAGTTTACGAAGGCCTTATTGTACATAAATTTTCATCAATCACGAGCTGACCACTCTCTTTTTACTTACAAGCAAGGTAGGGACTATCTTGCTGTTCTTATATATGTGGATGTTGTCATTCTTGTTGGCAATTGTGACTCCCAAATCAGTGCAGTCAAGAGATACCTCGACGAATGCTTCAGCATCAAAGATTTGGGACGGCTAAAATACTTCCTTGGTATAGAAGTGGCCTGGACACCTCAAGGACTTGTACTCAGCCAACACAAATATACATTGGATCTACTGGCAGATAGTGGATTGCAGGGATGTCGGCCCAGCTTGTTTCCTATGGAACAGAACGCTCACCTGGATAAAGAGACAACCACTCCCTCTGTTAATGCTTCCAAATATAGAAGGTTGATCGGTCGCTTACTATATTTACAAGTTACCAGACCTGATATTACGCTTGCTGTCAACATGTTAAGCCAATTCATGGCAGACCCTCGACAAATTCATATGGACGCAGCAGTTCGGGTCCTCCGTTATTTAAAAGCCACGCCTGGACAAGGTATACTTTTACCAAAACATGGTGATTTGAGATTAAGCGCTTTCTGCGATGCTGATTGGGGAGGCTGCTTGCTCACACGACGTTCACGCACTGGGTATCTGGTGATGCTTGGCGGGGCACCCATTTCTTGGAGGACCAAGAAACAATCCGTTATATCCCGCTCCTCCGCTGAAGCGGAGTACAGAGCAATGGCAGCAGCAGTAAGCGAGATTCTATGGCTGCGGTGGCTCCTCCGTGATCTACAGGTTGTGCAACATGATGCAACCCCACTTTATTGCGACAACCAAGCTGCACGCCATATCGCTAACAATCCAGTTTTCCACGAACGAACAAAACATGTTGAAATGGATTGCTATTTTGTTCGTGAGAGAGTGGAATCATGCGAGATAAAGCCTCTTTACATTGACACGAAGAATCAAATTGCTGATATTCTAACAAAACCCCTGGGAGGCGATCAGTTTCGACATTTGCGAGGCAAGTTGGGCATTTGTGATCTTCATGCTCCAACTTGAGGGGGAGTAAAGGAAAGTATATCACGGAACATTTGTAAATCTGCAAGAGTATTTTTATTTATGTAAATCTTGTTCTTTACTTGTATAGGTGATTTTGTTTCCTTCATTACTTTAGCATAACTATTGTATAAATATTGAGATATTACGTAGATGAATCATAGAGAAGACCTTGCTTTCCAACACTCCATCTGTACAATGTTCCCGACTTCACCGGCTACGTTTCAGCAAAATCAAAGCAGGGAAGATAGGTCTCCGGAGCAGGATGTGGCGCCGTTGCGGTCTTTTGAAATGGATAGCGTTTGAAATGGATGCATGTCGTGCTGCAAATTGAATGTTCCAGATCAACATGAGAATTAGCTACAGTATAATTTTTACTCTGTTTAGCATAAATACCAATACTAACATGAATAGGAAAGCTTTCGTAAAACTAAAAGCATGTAACTGCAACCATAGAGACCTATGCTATACGCTCTTGAGACAGCCTATAGACCAGATCATTACTTCCCATATATAACAACAATGAAAGTATGATCTTCTTTAAATAGTTCCAGCCCAGATAAAATATGTATCCGGTTCTGGATCAGTCCAGTTCAAGAACTGGATCCACCCCTAATCGAAGTCAACCAATTCTAGTTTCTGATTTAATGTTTATAAAATACACTAAAATGCCAAACCAACCGAGAACTGACTCTAGTTTACCCAAATAAATTCCCAGTTTCCCGGATCGGCACGATTCCAACCCTATGAGTTAGCATCACTGCATCAGTAGAGGACTATTGCATAATGAAGTGCAACACACTGATGATTGACTTTTTACATTAGCAAAGTATGGATAGATACTAGTAATTAGAATTTTATTTGATATTTTACTATCATGAATTCCAACCCTGTTTTGGCATATTGATATTATACCATCATGAATTCATAAAAGCCTGAGTGGATATAGATAATAGTGTATTATTAATTAGCATTAATTAGCTTTCCATATTTCATTAGTTTCCTATTGTAATTTGGATACTCCTTTATTATATATATGACATCCAGGGCTACCATATTGGTAAGCCATTCTATTATTCTCACATGGTATCAAGAGCTTTAAGATTTTAACCTAATTTTTTTCGGCCCTATGACTACCGAAGGAACCGCAGCCGCCAGCTCCACCGTCACCGCCGCCACCTCTACGACGATGACGGAATCCCCTGTGCTGAGCGCGGTTTCCATGCCGGTTTCTACACCAGTGAATGATCCTTTTTCCTCCACCACTCTGGCGCCGTTCTCCATCTCAACCGAGCAGCCGAGTTCGGTGTTTACCACGGCAATTCCATCATCTGCGCCGCCGTCTTCATGGGTCCCGCCTATCTTTACGTGGACGCCAACGGTTCCGAGCTTGCAGTCCATGCCGCAGCAGTCTTCTTTCGTCATCGGGGAATCCAGCAGCACCGCCGGCCGACGTTTTCGCCGGACGCACCTTCTCTGGCAGTCCGGGATTGCTACCGCCGTCAAGCCCCGGCCCGGTTGGACGTCGGGACATACCTCCAATCCCTACCTCGTTTGCAAGTCTTGGTCAAGGTATGGGTTTTGGTGCTTCTTCTATCACTACTATTGTGACCATTAAGTTACTGGCTGTTGAAGATTATTTACCCTAGCGAACTCAGTTTGAATCCTTCCTAGTCTCTAATGGTCTTTTGGGTATACTTGATGGATCTCTACCTGCCCCAACCATATACACTTATGATTTATATCAAAACCAAACCATGAATCCTGAGTATTATCATTCGTTGATCGTTTCTAGTAATAATTAATATATGAAACAAAACTAGTTGATCCTTTAAGTAATGTTCAAAATATTAATATGGAATATGAATAGGAATTAATTAATAGTCAAGAAAGAATATTAAAGAAAATGAATCCTACTATAGTTAATATCAAGATGTTAACTAATTGTCATCTTAGTAACACTCCCCAATACTAACATAGAGGAAGAAATAGCTATTACTATAACTAATGTCAAGATGTTAACTAATTGTCATCTTAGTAACACTCCCCAACATTGATATAGAGATAGTATTTAAAGGAAGAATTAATATTCAAGGAAGAAGATTAAAGAGAATAACTCACAA